TTTTGCATGTTTTTCAAATATCATTAGTTTTAAAAGTCTTTCGTCTTATACATTATCGAAGAAAAAGAGGTGGCCGCTCCTCCTCTTTCGATTGGTGAAAACCGCTGGTAGCTAGGTATTGCGGTTGTCGAGTTATTGAGCTTACACTCACCCCTCTTTTATTCTGGCGCGGACATTAGATGCATGATGTATCACCCATTTTGAAATATTTGTATATGGTTGGCGAGATACTTGAATTCGCTTATGAAAATTTTCAATTATGGGTTTGTCTATTACAGAAATCAACGAGACCTTAATATGAAATCGGAAAAAAAGATGAAAAGCATTCAACATGAAATATTCTTCTTCCCATCTCATTGAAAGTGCACTTGAAAGGAAAAAACAAAAAGAAACACTGATAATTCACATATTTTGAACTTAAATATCACGTGTATAATATAAAATTAAGTCTAGTTGATACGATCGTACCATTCTCTTTTTTTACAAGTAAATAATTGTCTAATGACGAGGAACTTTGGACATAATACAATACTTATTTCAATTTTTCTCCATCTCTTCCAATATTACCAATAGAACTTGTGTACTATATTTATGATCGTCTTGGTTAGGCATGTGCGGAATCTGAACCATTCAAGGTTCGATCTTAATTGCAATCATTTTCAATTAAATAATAAAATGGAATAGAGAAGTAAGCCAAACGAAAAGATTCCGTAGTTGGCTATGAAAGATCAGCAGACAATAAAATCAATTGTCTAAAAACTAAAGGAATACAGGTCTTGTAAAACAGAATCAACAATGTTCACAAATACTCATATCTCAAGATAATTTCACCACCGTACATACACATTAAGAAATATTTTGACAATTATTTAAATATTTGACATTATCTGAACTGGTTCATTAGTTCTCGAAAGTTGAACAAAATGCACGTTCAGCGTATATCTAATCTTGATAATTTAACTATTCTATGCTCAAATAGCAAATAATTACCATTGATATCAGATAAACTTTTGTTTTATTTCAACTGTTGATTTTTATTATCTTCAAAACATCATTCATTCTCATAATATCTCAATAGTATTTTATCTCAAAATGTTTACTCGAATAGAATTTCTTTATACGTTAAGTTTAGTTGAAATGTCATCTAACTTTGATCCATGAATCAATGCACTATGTGTTTGTCTACAGAAGAGAATTTCTTTCTTTGTATTCGTCAAAATATGATATCATAATAATAGAAGGTAGCATATTAGTTCTATCCTAGTTCTTCATAAGACATTTGTAATAGATAATAGCTCTTATGTATTTCCGATATGAATATTCTATAACCACCAAGTCTTAAGGGAAGTAATAGATCATCATTCACAGAAAAACGCAATAGGACTATTTGTCTACACATAAAGATAGTAATTATCTTTATCACATAATACAGATACTACGTGTGTTGAATGTTCGGCTCATATAATCGATTTCTTTTTTTTTTCGTTTAAATTTTTGAAAGTTGACAGAGTTAGCGAAAACAGGCTGCACTTTTCGAGCATAATACTAAGTACTGTTTTTATCCTGATTCTTTTTTTAATGACTTTTTTTTTTTTTTTTTTTGAATCTTAGACTTACCATTAGTGTTCGATTTTCTGTCACGTAAGATTAAGCAATCCATCTAAAAACGATCGGCTTACTGTCGAATGAAAGCCCATGCATCGGAAATAAACCATTTAGAAAAATAAAGAAGAGAAAATTTTATTGTTTCTTGTTTATCAATACTATACGCTAAATCTTATGCAAGGTTTTCTACGAGAAACATGTCACGCAAGATTATAACGTGCGTAATACTTCATCATTAAGATTACAGTCAATACAAAATGGTCCAAAAGTAAGAGAACACAGAATTTATTCGATTTCCTCTTTGTAAATGGTCAGTTAGATCTTACATTTATACCACATATTATACTAGGTGATACTAGTAAATAAATCCGATTTAATCATATTCTGACCTCTTTTGGACTAAATCAGTTTAAAATGTTGAATTTGTCATACAATTACAGACGAATAGTAATATATATTCGTACACTTTTGCACAAATTATTGCACCTAAAGACTAATCATGACCTATATTGGAAACCGATCAATGACGCCTATGGAATATTATTACAGGGGAAGAAACATGAATTAATCATTGCAGTATTGATTCCAAAACAGTTGAATATGACACGGGGTTCTGAAGGGTCAAGGTTAACAATAGTAGTCAAGTAATGTCAACACTGAGGAAAAGAACATGTTTGCCGTCTTCTATAGAATAGTAGAATCGGAGTTTATGTACATGGTTGAATCCAACAACAGGATATCTAGTCTTTATAACAACAACAAAAAAAACAATTGTCAAAAACTGTTGCTTAACAATATCAGAAAAGAAAGATCAAAGTCTGATTTGCACGACTTTACCAAACGGAAGATATTAAAACAATTCTTCAGAACCAAGGCTTGTTTGTAATATCTCATCAACTGGATCTTTCTGACTTGGCACTATCCTATTTTTGACTGTTCTGTTATTCGTAACAGCAAGTTGGCAGTTATTCTGATTCCCAATCTTTGCAACAAGCTGTAACAAAAAAGCATCGCACCATACCTTATGATGGGTTTCGAAAAACATTTCACAAATTGATTGTTCGAATGGAACTCCGTGTAATAAATAATTAAGACCGAGTACTCTGAAGATTTAATGAAATAAGGTTTATTTTAAAAGATCACGTATTTAATAAAGACGTACATATTCCGAAAACGTTTGGATTACTCTATATATTAATGATTGTATCGCATTTTGTTACTTTCTCATAAAAAAAAAGACAAGGAACTTTTTGAATGCACCACATATGTATCATTCGATTAAGAAAGTAGACATCGATTACTGTATGAGAATTTAAATTCCTAAGATAAATTACTATTGGTAATAGTTAATGATTTTCAGTCATAATTATTTATTTCAATATGAGCAAACCATAATACAAATTCGATTCCTAGAAGATAAATTTAGATAGAAAATAGTAATATACAGTGCTAGACTTTTACATCTAGCGTGTCGAAATCGAGCAGATAATGTCAGAATAAATTACAGGAAAACAAAAAGAAGCAAGAGAGAAATTTGTTTGTTTTCGACTCTATACACATAGAATAATACGTATTCAATGAATTCTCTGTTTCAACTACACAATTCATGATACAATCTATTTCAATAAAAAACAATAGATTTTTGTTTTAATATTACAAAAAAGAAAAACCTGAATAAGAAAATAAATGAAACAAATATTGTCTAGAAAATTTTTTACATGACTAAATTATCATGTCATAACAAATATTTAAACTTCTGTTACATTCGAAAAACTACTTGGTGAATCTTTTCGACGAATTACAGCCACTGTTGTTTTTAATGGTTTTCTATTTAGAGATTTATCTCGATTATTTTCTTCATTTTGTGATGATGATGTTGGACTAATTTGTCGTTCATGAGTTTGTTTTCTTTTTTCGTTAATATTTTTAACTTTATGTGGATATTGAAAAGCTGGTTGACTTGGTAAACGTTTAAAATTACTACCTGTAGGAATGACTTGTGGTGTAAGAATAGCAGCAGTTGAAACTTTTTCTTCCAATGGTCGTTGAGGTGGTGCTCCATAAACATAATGATATGGACGTTTTTTCTGATATTTTTTTAATTGATTGTGACGCCATGCTTGCATATGTTGTGCATGACTCATTTGCGTACGTAATGTTGCAAAGTTTGTCATTGAACTATCATTTGATGCTCGACCTGATTCAGGTACACCTTGAAAGGTTGGTGTATTATTAAACGTATTTATTCCCAATGGTGTTGAACCGTGCGATTTTTGTCGTTGATAATGTGGTCGTGTGGATTTCGTTCCACTAGTATAACTTGATGGTGATTGAATGACAATATCTGGTGGTTGTTGAGAACCAAATCTTCTAGTATTAGGATTAAATGTTGTTGAAACTCCAGGTTGTTGACCAGCTGTTGGTGAAATTTGGTATGCATTTGCAGCATGAGGAACATTGGCTTGTGGAGCATTTACATCATACAACATACACGAACGAATAGCAATATATCGTTCAGCTGGACTTTGAGGATATTCATCGATAATAGGTAATGGTGTAGGCACAGAAAGTAAACTACGAGTTCCTGGAGGTTGTTCTTCAGGTGGTGCACCTCGTCTTCGTATGGAGGCTTTAGGTCTGAAAAAGAGATAGAATTTAATAATAATTTTTTTTCAGAAAATAAGCATACTTCATTTCTGCTCCTCTTGCTACAAGAGATTGAGGAATTTCATCAAATGCAAACGACTCTTGAACACGATCAGCAGCAACAGTAGCTACTGCTGCATGCATTTGTTCATCGATTAAATTACTTCGTTGAATACGTAATAGAGCAAGACGACTTTCTACTTGTTTTCTTAGATCAAATAAATGATAATTATTAATAATTGTATATGCAAGATACCAACGAAAACGTGCTTGTTTTTGCTTTAGAATTTGTAACATTTTACTTGCTTCATTTGGTTTGACTAAATGACTAATAAATGGATAAGCTGTAGAGACATTATGTGTAGGCAATCGTTTTTCGCGTGAAGATTTATCTTGTGCTTTCTCTTCTTCTTCTTCTTCTTCTTCTTCTTGGTCTTCTTCTTCTTCTTCTTCTTCTTCTTCTTCTTCTTCTTCTTCTTCTTCTTGGTCTTCTTCCTCTTCTTCTTCTTCTTCTTCTTCTTGGTCAGTTTCAACATTCGATTCTTCTGTTTGTTGTTCTTTTAATGTGTATTCTGATGAATGCTTACTTGGTTGTTTTATAGAATAATTTGATGATGATTTAGTCGATCCTGTATGTGAATAAGAACGATTAATAATCCCTGATCGTGCGGTATCAGTCACTATTTCTGAATAATGACTACTATCTTCATTTGTATTACTATGACTACGTGATGATGATGAACCTACTAGTCGCTGTTGTTTTATTGGTGGTGTACGTTGTTGAGCTTCACGATAAGATATTGTTCGTAAAAGAGGTAAATCATTTGAATCTGATGTTCGATCATATGATGGTGGAGAATAGATGACATTTGCTCGATTTGCACGTTCTTCATCAGTTAGTATTGTATCATAATGACTTTCTTCTTTAATTCTTCCAAAACCAGTAGAAACTCTGGGTACTATTCGACCAACTGTATCATATGATGCTAATAGCCGTTGTTGTTGTTGTTGTTGAGGTCGAGATGTTAACATACCACCATCATCATTAGCTTCTGGTGATGATTGTTTTTTCCTTTGATTATCGAGTATAGGTTTTTTAGTTGGTATAATCGTTCGAACTGTATCGTAGGTTTTGACGATACGTCCACCATCATCATCATCATCTTCATCTTTTAAAATCTTTGACTTGGAACTTTTTTTAGTTGTTATTTTCTTTTTAATAGGTTCTTGTCGTTTAGGAGCACCATCATCATCTGCATCATTATCTTGATTAGCTAATGCTTTTAATTGTTCTTTCTTTTTTTTCTTCGCTTCTATTTCTTTTTTCTTTTTTTCAGCTGCTAGTTGCTTTTGTTTTGATACGCCACCATCGTCATCTTCATCATCAAGAGATGTTGGTTTTACAATTTTTTTATTGGGTTTTACTTTAACATTAGGTTTGGCTCTTGGTATTCCTCCATCATCTTCATCTTCATCGTCATCGCGTAGAATTGATTGTTTTTTCTTTTTTGTTTCCTCTTTTTTCTTTTTCTTTTTCTTTTCTTCTAATTCTCGTTTTTGTTTAGCAATTACTTTTGGATTGATGCCACCATCATCATCTACTTCATCATCATCATCATCATCAATAATATCTTCTCGTTTTGGTACACGTGGTGGAGATATTTGTTGTAACGGCATTAATCGTGGTAGTTTTTGAGGCATTACTTTTGATATTGTAGAAATTGATGGTGGTTTTATACCTCCGTCATCATCAAAATTATCGTCATTGTCATCTTCTCGTTTTGATACGCTTGGTGAAGATGTTCTTTGTAATGGCATTAAGTGTGGTACTTTTTGAGGGATTACTTTTGATATTGTAGAAATTGATGGTGGTTTTATACCTCCGTCATCATCAAAATTATCGTCATTGTCATCTTCTCGTTTTGGTACGCCTGGTGAAGATGTTCGTTGTAATGGCATTAAGCGTGGTACTTTTTGAGGCATTACTTTTGATATTGTAGAAATTGATGGTGGTTTTATACCTCCATCATCATCAAAATTATCGTCATTGTCATCTTCTCGTTTTGGTACACGTGGTGGAGATGTCCGCTGTAATGGCATCAGACGTGGTGCTTGTTGAGGAATTATTTTTGATATAGTAGATATTGATGGTGGTTTGATACTTCTATCATCATTGTCATGTTCTTCATTTGGAAGATCTTCACGCATAGGTACGTCAAGAAAAGGAGCAGATGGTAATGGTAGCTGAGGTTGCTTTTCAGAAATAATTTGAGCTTTTATTGAAACAGTTGATGAACGAGAAGCATTATCATCATCTTGTTCTTGTATATCATCCTTAGTAACTAACTTGCGTTTTTTCGATTTTTGACTACTTTTATCTGAAACCTAATAAAACACTGAAATATATGAAAATTTGAATATAGTTCTTACTGTTGATGGACTTGGAGATTTAGCTTTGGGTTTTACTTCTCTTATTGAACGACCTTCTTTCGTATCATCAACATTAGAAATTGAACTTCGTTTTTGTCGTATCGATTTTGTTGATGATACACTTTCTTGTTTTTGTACTGTTGTCTTTTTCGATGTTGATCCATTTATATTTTGCTTCTTTGTCTTTGGTGATGTATCTTTTGTAATCTTTACTTTTTCTTCGACGATTGTCTCATCGGCATCAAGTTCACCTGGAGCAATACAACATTCATCATCATAACAATGCTTTGGTCGTTGTTTAACAACATCATCATATAATGAATAACAAAAGGCTAAGATAAAAATAAATATTTAATCAAGAAAAGGACCATGTTTGATAAGATTACTATCCTTTATTTGAACAGCCATCCGTACATTGAACGGTATATAGGAAATGTATTTTCATCAAGTTTTATCGATTTGAGCAGTCAAATACCTACTACGGGATATTATAGCAAATATGGGTAATATATCAGAATATTATGTATATATAAAGTTCTATTTAAAGTTAATTCAATAGACTTTTATCTCTATACCAATCATGTATATGTAATAATATCTTTTTTGTTATCCAAAACCTTAACATTTTTCTTAGTTTCTGTGATTTTTAGCTTATATGATGCTATAAATTTTTCGATACTTAGGACAAAGATGGCCAACCCTGCAATTTTCTCAGAAATTGTGTGCTATGAAACTCTATAAATATACCAATTGATTGTCCTGTGAATCGAAGCGTGTCATAGCCAAGTTGTCTAAATAATATCTCAAAATGAACGATTATTTTATTACTATGGACAAAAAGTATGTCAGTTTTGCAATAAAAACTTGTTTAGTGAAACAATTTCTATCAATGAATAATAAGCACATAGTGTCCTTTTGGACCCCTGGAGGGAGGAATGCAGACATGCAAAGTTCTTAATCTTTATAAAAGAATGAACATATATTGAATCTCATAGAGCTCTATGTTCTAATTACTGTCTGCTATTGAGAATTGAAATTCATAAGGAAGAAAATAAAATAAAAGCTAATCTTTGTAATAGTCTATACCTGTAGACCGTTCCAGGATTTTGAAAATGAAAATTTTTTGTCTTTTTTGACAAAGTCATATATGTCCGATGATAGACAATAATAAACTTATTACTTATAGATAGAAAATTTGTCGCAAAACTGATATACTTGTCCATCTTTAGATCTTGAATAATTGGCTGTTTTTACATATTGATTAGTCAATCTGACCGTGATGCACTTCAGTTCAAAGGATAACCAGTTAATATACTCATGCACCTCAGAAGCACATATTTTCTGAAAAAGTTGCATGTTTGGTCGTCTTTACATTGAAGAATAGTATCGAAGGATTTAAAACATCATTCAGACTAAAAATAATAAAAACTACAAACATGCTATGGGTTTAAGTATTAAGAAAGCTATTATTAGATATACACAATTGAAATCGAGATAAAAGTCTATTAAATTAATTTTAAACAGAACTTTATATACATCCTATTCTGTAATATTACCCATATTTGCTAGAATATTTCTTAACTAATATATATATAGCTTCTTAAATCGTTAAAACTTGATGAAAACATAATTTCCCATGTACTGTTCGATGCGATACGCATTGTTCTATAAAACAGTATAGATGACTTTTTAAATGAAGGATGGTCATTTTATTCGACAGAATTATTTTTATGTTTAGAAATTCACCAAGCATGACTGGATTTGTATGAGTTACTTCCATATGTAGATATGATACATAGGCTGCATAACCCAGATCTAAATTACAAGATAAAAATTATTTAATCGATTTTTCTTCTAAAAAAAAACAATTGTATATTTTACCGAATTTTTCTAATGGTCTTCCAAGAAAACTACAATCAAGTCGTGCCATATAAACCAAATTAAGAGAAGTTGCTTTAATAAAACGAATAATACATGAAGCAATACCAAGAAAACAATCTTTTTAAATAAAAGAAACAAATTCTTTTTCTTTTTTTTTTTTTTTGAATTAAATAAATCTTACCGGCAAAAAAATTAAAATAAAGAAATATAGCATAAGTTTTTCGATTATTTAAATTAATTTTTTCATGATCACTTTGCATAAAAAAAAAACTTCCTGCTGATGATGCACTAACCATTTTTAATAGATAAATAACAGTTACAGGTACAGTTATAGCAAGTATTAATTCAAAATAACGCATTTGTAAAGATATTATTCGAATTAAACTTAAGAAAACAAATATTAAATGAAAACATATTAGAAAACCCCATGCCATATAACCAACAAGAAAACCCGAATAATGAACAGATTTTGATACAATGGAACTTGGTTTAAAATTTAATGATGATGGTACATCTTCATATATGCCTCTATATAAATCTAATTTATGTTTTTTATAATTTTGAATGCCAAGAAATAATTGAAATGCATATATTAAAAAAGCAATAATTGCACTTGTTATTATTTCCAATCTCAATGAAAATAATCCTTTAAATTCTAAATCATTCAAAAAGAAGAAAAAAAAAAACACAATAAATTTACGAATTTATAATATGCAAAAATAAAACAAAAAAAAGAAAGTAGTGATCTTACCAATATTGAATATTGATTGAATATAATATCTTACAAATAATGTATGACCTGTTGTTCTTGATATATATAGAAAAACAAATGTACATGCTAAATAATAAAGAAAAACAATAGCTACTGTATATGTACATGTAGCTAATGTTGTAAAACGAAAATCTTCATCCCAAGCATAGATTGAATTTAAAAATTTTTTAACACGTGATGGATAAACTTTTTTCGTTGTTTTAGTTGTTTGCGATTGATTATCAAATTTATTACTAACTACAAATTTTTGATATCGTTTTTGTTTTTCTTCAATATTTCGTCGAAATAATTTTGTTACATAATATTTTGCAAATTCAAATTCATCTTGTTGAAGAACAGGTGCTGACCATATACTTTGTTTTTTTTTCAATGGTACATATACTGAATCATATGCAAAACGTACACATAATTCAGCACCAATATATGAAAGAAAAATAAAATGTGGAGTAGCTTTTACTAAACCATAAACGATAAACCAAGTACCAAGTTCCTATAAAAGAAAACAATAACAAACTAAATGAAAAGTTTAATAAAGAATATTGATCATAGATGATTGCGAACATGTTTTGTTTTATGACGAATAAACTATATCAAATCAATATTATTATTCTTTTTGTTTTTATATTGATAGATGGGCATAGAAGTGTCACACTTACTGTTACTTCTATTTACTATGATAATAGTAAATATTTTTTTTTAAGATGGAAAAATTCCATTGACAACAGTAATAAATGGTTAGCATACCGGGCAAGTGGTTTATGTTGGTAATTAGATGCCTGACGAGAGTAATTAGTGTTACCAATCAGTTATGCTATCGGATAACATGGAAAGTTTTTTAATTTGATTTTAGACTCAAAGAAAGTCTATTTTTACGAAATTAAAGATATTTTAGAAAAAAATTGATCAAAAAGTTTTTGGAATCGAAAAATCCGATTTGATTGATGGTTTCTTACAATTTGGAGTATCATTATTTTCGTAAAATAAGCTTTCTTTGAGTTAAAAATGAAAGTGAAAATTTTCTATTACCCAATAGAATAATTAATCGATAATGCTTATTTCCCTTCTTAGATTTCTAATTAAATACAAAGCACTTACGAGGGAACCTTTTCAGATGACACCCTCCGTTTTGATTCGTTCGTATCTCATTTAATCGAGTATATTGAGGTAGTAAAAAGACTAAAGGTATTTTTCCCCAATGTTCTTCCTTCGAAAGTTATGGTCGTTTTATTGAATTTTCGACCCATTTCCAGACATTTACGAAAAAATCAAAATATGGAATTTCGACTCGATATTTCGCCCATAGATAGGTCTAATGGTCCTTAGAATATCCTGAAAGTTTCAGCTAAAAAGAATGTT